AAAACTTAACCTCATAGGGAGTGTCTGGTCTTTAGAGATAAAATAGGAAGCCAAGATAATGAAATTCAGTTCTTTTGGGGCTTTCTGAACTTTCTCTGGACATTCTGGAATTTAGTCAAGAGGCAGGTCAGAGAGACTGAGCAATCGCCAACATCCCCCTTCCTGCTCGCCCAATCCTGGTGGGTTCCTGGGAAATCTGAGGTGAAAAGGTGAAGGGTGCTGGAAAGTTTGCTTATGAGAGAATCCAATTAGTGCCCAGTGGCACAGTGGTTAAGTTCACACGTTCTGCTTCAGCAGCCCGGGTTTCACAGGTTCAGATCCCGGGTGCGGACCCGCACACCACTCGTCAAGCCATGCTGTGGCAGACATCTTGCATGTAAAGTAGAAGGAAGACAGGCACGGAGGTTAGCTCAGGGCCAGTCTTCCTCAGCAAAAAGAGGAGGATTGGTGGCAGATGTTAGCTCAGGGCTAATCTTCCTCAAAAAAAAAAAAAAAAAAAAAGAATCCAATTAGATTAGGTGATTACAAGGGAGAAGCTGCTCAGTGCACTTGGTCCCCCACGGGGATCCTCTACCTGTTGTGACAGTTAAAGCCTTTCCACCCTTGCTGCAAGGACACTCTCAGATCTTCCCCCTGACAGAAAATAGACCAGTTCCCAAGACTGCTCCTCAGGGGGTTCAAGCTATTCCAGAAACCCGTGGAAATCCTATGAGCAACACGTGGAATTTTCTGTCTGCTGAGCTCCAGGGTGGCTTAGGCACGTTTGTTTGGGATCTGGGAGGAGAGGGCCCTATAAGCTTTGCAGCTTCCAAATGTACCGTCCTAACCAGAGGACAAAAAACGAGACAAGAAAACTCTGACAGGCCCTTGGGGGGAACCATCTGTGGTTCCCTGGGGTGAATTATCATGCCCCAGGACTCTGGTTGAGAAGTCCATCTGGGCCCAGAGCTGTTAAAGAGAATTTCTGCAGGACAGAGAAAGAAGAATTGGAGAATTTCCTCCCCAGGGGATTTCCGAGCCATGAATCCTATTAACGCCTACTTGTTTACAGCCAGTGGGCCCTGTGCTGACTTCACAGCTATGAGGCTTGGGGAATTAAACCACATTTGGAAGGCAAAAGGCATTAGCCTCGTGGTGCTTGAAGTGACTTGCACTTTGGGGCACTTTGAGGCACTTTGGGGGAGACAGGGTGGAGCAAGGATGGGAGCAGCAGAAGGCTCCGAGGCGTTGACATCATGGAAACGGGGCCCTGTGTGCTTCACTCCCCTGCCCCTCATTTATTCTGGAAGCTTAGAGACCAGCTCAGGTCCTCATTCAAAAGATGTTGCCTTCTCAGTTCTTTTCGTCTGTATTTCTGCTTTGATCTCCAAGAACTTAATTCACTTTATCCCTTTGAAAAAATTCTGAAAGTGCAAGAGCACCAGGGAGGCCAGAAAAGTCTATGAAGCTTTATGTTCCTGCCATGACATTTGGGGCCTGTTTCAACTAAGGGCTGAGCTAGCAGTCCTGGATTTCAAGAATGAGGCACTCTGGGGGCCTGTTTTGGGGGCATATTAGTTGAGCACTCTGGGCCTCTCGGATATTGAGGGACAAACAAGTTGTGGAATCTTCCAATCCAGAGGGTCACGATTTTAAGGAGCTAAGTCTGTGAGCCTTTGCAGCAACAACAGTAGCACATGATACTTTCTCTGGTCCAGGCCTGGCTTAAGCGCCACTCTTGTATCATGTCACTGAATTCTCACAACAACCCTGAGAAGCGGGACTGTTATTATCATTGTCCTGTTTTACTGACAAGTAAACCGAGGCACAGGGAGATAAAGTCAGCGGCCCAAGGTCATAGAGCTAGTGAGTAAAAGAAGCAGGACGCGAATCCAGAGTCTGTGCTCCTCCCTGCTGCTTGACCACTGCTTCCCCGCCACACAGGCACTGTCGCGCCTTGCACCATTTTTTATCACTAAATCATCTCTCAGCCCTTGCTTTTATATTTTTACTAATGCCCTGAGATCCTCTTTGCCTCTTTAGTCATTTCTCTAAGCCCCAGCCTTGAGGGTTAATCTTAACAGTTCATGGCACTGAGTGCTCACCCTGTGCGGTATGTTTCACGTGCATTATGCCATTTATGGAGAAGGAAAGCAAGGCCCAGAGAAAATGAATCACGTGCGGAAGATCCCCAAACTTGTCAGTGGCAGGTTTGGCTCTATGGCCTGACACCATGTGATCATTCCATGAACTTTAACAAGAATGTCCTATTTGCCATTCCACACACGCAGTCACTCTAGGAGCTAAAATCCAACTTATGTTCTAAAATTATTAGATAAAATGAAGAGATCATTGCGGGGAGAGTTGTGAACTGCAGGATGGGTTACTAAAGCAAAAGCTTCCTACTGTGGGGAGCTTCAAGCCCCCAGTGACGTGGCAGTTATACGTAGACATAAGTGAGGAGGAGAGGAGAAGCCCGATGGGGCTGTGAGCTCACCCGGACCGTCACACGGATTTGTGTCTAACACACACGTTGTACAAGCCTGCTACGGGAGCTCTGGTTTGTCTAGTATTTAAGAGTTCCCCCAAATGGGTGCTCAGAAGAACAGGGGATGCAAAAATCAGTAGAGTGCCCCTTCCTGCTGCCAAGCCAATCTCACAATCTGGAGAACGCCAATGTGATGTGTCTGCCTAAGATACAGCTATCAAAGCACTGGAAGAGCTAATTTTAGGCTGCGGTCACGTAGTCACAAGTGCCGTAGGAATGACAAAAAGGAGAGAGGCCTGTGCGAAGTGTCACTTGGGTACGGTGACATACAGAAGGCGATGTTGAAAAAGAAGAGGATTTAGCTCGACGAGAGTTAGGCACCTTGCCGAATGGGAAGGAGAGGAGGATTAGAAGAGGGGGAAGGCACAGGAATACGAGGAAGAAGTACACATCCAGGTCTGGGCTGCACGGCGCTGAGGAGCAGAGAAATAAGAACAGGAATGCCTGCCTCGCAGTTTTCAAAGGACTTTTGCATCCATTTTATGTTCCATTTTGCATCCATTTGATGATCCTCTCAGATCCCTCTTCAGATACGGGGTTGGGGGGCCTTGTTATCCTTATTTTACAGATAAGCTAAGTGATGTGTCTGGCCAAGGCCACACATATCTAGAAAGTGGCGACCAGGACCCAGATCTCTGTGCTCTTTCTACCATCTGTCACCTCGTTGCATGTCTCCACTAGTTGGTGCTGAATCTCATCTACAAGAATATAGGTACAGCTGGGACAAGTAGTGAAAAGTCTTACATTTCTGGTTGAGGAATTTGCATTTGGTCTGATAGGCAATTATAGGTTCATGGTGAAATGAAAATGATGGGGTTTTTTTTTTCTGCTTTTTTTCTCCCCAAATCCCCCCCAGTACATATTGCATATTTTTTTTAGTTGTGGGTTCTTTCTAGTTGTGGCATGTGGGATGCCACCTCAACGTGGCCTGATAAGCAGTGCCATGTCTGTGCCCAGGACTCAAACTGGTGAAACCCTGGGCCGCTGAAGCGGAACGTGTGAACTTAACCACTCGGCTACAGGGTTGGCCCCTGAAAACGATGTTTTAACTGGTTTAATCTAGCAATGGTGTACAGGTCAGGAGATGTTCACAGTTTCCAGGCATCAGCTAATAAAGGCTGGGGTTAGGATGGTAGCTCTGAACACAGTGAGTAAGGATAGAATTCAAGGCACATCACGAAACAATGGAGATAACTCTGTCAATTGATGGGATGTGACATAAAGGAAAAAGAAAAATTAAAGAAAAAATCCCAATAGTAGTCAACCATATTAGTCAGCTAGGGCTGCGATAACAAAATACCATAGACCAGGTGGCAGAAATAACAGAAATCTATTCCTCACAGTTCTGGAGGCTGAGAAGTCTAAGAACAAGGTGCCAACAAGGTAAGTTTCATTCTGAGGCCTTGTCTCTTGGCTTGTAGGCAGCTGCCTTCTGGCTGTGTCCTCACAAGGCAAAGAGATAGAGATAGAGATAGATGAGAGAGAGAGAGAGAGAGAGAGAGAGTGTGAGAGAGAGAGAGCAAACTCTCTCATGTTTCTTCTCACAAGGACACTAATCCTATTGGATCAGGGCCCTACCCTATGACCTCATTTAACTTTAATTATCTCCGTTAATGTCCTACCTCCAAATACAGTCATACTGAGGGTTGGGCTTCAACATATAAATTTTGGGTGGACACAAACATTCAGGCCCTAACATCAGCTGAGTGGGATTGGTTTGAGGAGGAGGATAAACTCAGGTCAAGTTTGAAGTGAAGACAGAATCTTCAAGGGCATCCTGTAGGCAACTAGAAATGTGCAGATATATATTTCAGGTCAGAATTCAAGACAAGCTACTTAAGTTCTCTCAGTCTCAGTTTTCTTTCTTTCTTTATAAAATTGAGATAATAATGCCAACTCAGCCTATCTTAAAAGATAGCCAAGTGGAGCAAATGAGATAACCGAGAAGAAAACTCTTTGCAAATTATAAGATGAAAGTGTTACCGCCCAAGGCGGGGGTCGTCTGCCTGATGCAAGACATGCCAATAGTCAGGAGGCAAGGTGGAAGGAGAGAAAGGACTTTTTAATCACAGCTTGCTAGCAAGGGGGAAGATGGCTGACTAATGTCCAAAGAACCATCTTAGAGAATAAAGACTACAGGCCAGTTATATAGTGGGCTGGTCTCTGGGTAGAGGAGGCAAGTGGTCTCCAGGTGACATCTGGTCTTAGTTCCTGACAGTCTTTTGTTTTACTGGCTGTGCCTCAAAGATGGGAGCAATGCCCTATACCCTGATCTTTCAGTTGCCATTGATGATGGCTGTCAGGGGGTCATCACCTTCCTAAGGAACTCAAAAGAACAAAGTTATCAACTTACAGCAGCTGGGAGGGGCCATAAAATCTACAGAGCACCTCTGGGTTAGTTAATCAGAGGTCATTCAAAGTTGCAATATGGGTTTTTTCCTACAATATGGCTTCCCTTATGTCAACCTTGTGTTAGCTGGTATCAAAAGTATGATATTTTCATATGTAAAAGACATAACTGGTAGTCTGAGGAAGAGAGACAGTTGTAAAGTCTCCATGGTGGTGAGTTCTTGGGGGATTACAGAGAGAGGTGAGCCAAGGACCACGGTGGAGCTCCAGTGGGTGTCCACAGTTGCGTGAAAAAGAACTAACAGTGGCTTTGGAAGAGCTGAGCAGTCAGGAAATGGAAAACCACATGGCCTCAGGGCCACAGAGGTCAAAGGAGGGGAAGTTTCAAAAACAAGATGTGAAGATCAAATTCTAGAGTTACTGAGAAGAAAGTCTGAGGAAAGGGCAGCAGAACCAGCTGCTGAGCAGGAACAAACGAGCTTATCCTGGTTATGTCTGACTCACAGGAGGTGGTGGGGACAGGCAGGGCAGCTATTGCTGTAGATAAGGAAGAGGAAGATGAGGGAGAAATGACAACAGTGAGGCTGGTGATTCAGGGAGTTTAGGTGTAAAAAGGACAAAGAAAAATAGAAATTTGAATAGGTCAGAGTTAGGTAGGAGAGGAGGATGCTGGCATTTGGCTGACCCCCTGCTGTGCATCGTGAACACATCCTCTCAATTACAACTCAAAACAATCCTAAGGGACAGTCTTTATTAGCCTCATTTTAAAGGTGAGGAAGCAAAACCTCAGAGAGTAAGGCTTATATAGCTAGAAAAGTGGAGGGTTGGGAGTCAAACCAGGACTACTGGACTTCAAACACAGTGTACATTCTACCCTAGCACAGTTCAGGTGTAGGATGTTTAAAAAGAGAGGAGGAGAAACGAACAGAGGCAGAAACTGAAGTCTCTTGAGGGAGACAGTGTGAGAGTACGAATCAAGATGTCTCTAAAGAAGAGAAGACATGCGTCTTCCCTCCCTGACTCAGATTCTTCCTCCAGCAACAAACCCTTCACAGCTGCAGAGCTTGAGAGCTACCCTCCCATCGCTTTCTCAGCTGCTGCTCCTTTACCAGCTTCCTGTCCTTGGGCTTCCACCCCACCCCTTGGATCACTGATAACCTTCTTATTGCTAAGTCCCTTGATACTTTGTATCCCCACTGACCACTCTCTCCTTAAAACAGTCTTTCTCTAGGTGTTCTTGACCTTGCATTCTTGATTCTTCTTGTATTGTTTGGCCAGTCTTTCTCAGTCATCTTTTCAGGCTTCTGTTCTCTCTGCCTGTCCCTTAATTGTTGATGTTTCCCAAGGTTTTGTCCTTGACCCTCTTTCTTTCTCTGTTCTTATAGCCTGCATGAGCTCATCGACTCTTCTGGCTTCAGTTACCATCAAGTGCTGGTGGCCCCTACGTTCGTAAGTCTCCCGCAGCTCCTCGTTCCCACATCTAGACTGCAACAGACAGTTGAGTCATGTTTCATAAATGCCTCAAATCACAATGCCCCAAATTGAACTCATTTCCCCCCTAAACAGATTCTTCCTTCTTATGTTCTTTTTGTTAATGTAAGGCACCATCCTGCCCCCAAAACATCTGAGAGGATCCTTCACTCTCTGTTTCCTTGACCTTCCATAACTAGTCTATCCACAATTCCAGTCAACTCTCATTTCTTTATATCTTTCTGTCCCATCCAGATATGTCCACCCCCTCTGCCCTGGACAATCACAGAACATCCTTACTAGTCTCTCTAAACCTAGGCCTGCGTCTTTCCGAACTGTCCTCCATCTGCTGTCAGAATCACCCCTCCAAAATGCAACTCTGTTTCCCACACTTTAAGAGCTCTCGTTGCCCTCAGGATAAAACCCAAACTCCTTACTGTGGATGTAGATCAATCTCAAACCACCATCTGCCTGCCTCATCCTCCCTTTCATGCTTCACCTAGGTGATACGACTGGCAGTTCCCCAAATTTGCCATGTGCTCTCAGCAATCCCTTTTTGTACACCCTGTTCCCCTTTCTAAAACCCCTGAACCTCTCTCCTTAGCCAACCTTTCCCCTCAGTATCTTGAAAAACTCTTCATTTTTCCCTGAGACTATGTGGAGCCACTCCACAAGTTCCCATGGCACTCTCTACATCTTATTCTGATGGCCTTCTCACCTCTCTTTGTCTTTTAACTTCCCATCTCTAATAGAGCTTTGTCTATGAACTTTCTGATTTATTCACCACCCTTAAGTTTCCTTTAAGTCAGGGATTGTGGTTTCTTGGTTGTCATATACACAGGTCCTAGTATACGTGGTTCAGAGAGAGGCAGGACAGCATTGTGACTGAGAGCTGACAACTGGGCACACAAGCTATTCCATGTCTCTGCACTTTGGTTTTTCTCATCTAGAAATGACCAATTCAGAGTAGCTAGGGCTATTCAAGGATTAATTAAGACATGTAAGGAGTGTAGGGGAGGAAGGCAATTCCTCTATCCTCTAGGTCCTTCTGGCTGGTCCAAGAATTAAATTGTCATGAAACAGAATAATAGGAGAAAAATCAAACAAAGTTTAATAACATGTATACATGGGAGGAACCCAGGAAAACTGAATAACTAGCCAAAATGGCTAGAGCCCCCACCTTAAATACCATCTTCAGCTAAAGACAAAGGAGGGTGTTGGGGTTAGTGATTTGGGGCTTCAAAGGGGAAGAAGGTCCTTTACACGGAGATGGAAAAGCAAATGTTTGTTAAGCAAGTGTTTGCTGGGTCACTTCTAGACCACATGGCCTGAGAGACACAACTTTGATAAAAATGGGCCTGCTGGTGCTTTTTTTTTATCACACTTATTTTACTTTATACTATAGTGATATTACAATATTAGCTCCTTCCTAGAACAACCATTCTATCTGAAATTTTTTTAGGCAGTTTTGGGGAAGGTTAAATGTTCTTCCTGAGTCTTCTTAGCCTTTTGTTCTTAAAAGTAATCAAGACAAACAGACACATTTTGGGGTGGCCAATTCTGGTCACCCACAGGAGCTTTGCAGTGTGCCTACCACGGCTTCAACACAGTACAGGTTGACTGTTGCTTCTTGTTGAATGAATGAGCACCTGTGGCTTGAGGTGGAGGCGGGCCGTTAGAGGGAATGTGCTTTCCCAGAGCCCTTTAGCAGGTTTGACCAAGGCTGGGTGGCTTGAAGTGAGGTGTGGTGAGGCTGGCTGATGAAATCCGACAGCCAAGGACCCTGGTGGCAATTTGCCGGAAGAATTTTCAACGTGGGATTTAGAAGCCCCAGAAATGGTAGCCAGCAGGACTCAGAAGGTCAACTAGCAGCAATCAGAGAGGCTGCTGGCACGGCCTGTCTGCCTGTTCTCCTCCCAAGGAGGTGCCGACAGGTTAGGTGCCACTGCTCTCTCCCTCAAAGCTGCTCTGTGCACAATCTCATCATTAATTCCTTGTAAAGGTGATGCAAACTGCGCCAACCTTTTTCCTCCAGAACGTTATCTACTCTTTAGCAGTTTCCCACAACGTGATGGCAGCTGGTTGTCTAATTGCACATCACTTGCTGTTGTGCCGGGTACATCTGTGTCAGTGTGCAAGTGCCTCCGTCTTCCGGTTCTGAGGGCAGGTCACAGGCCTGTATCTAAGAACTGAAGGGCCGCACACCTGTGGGCTCACAGGCTCAGTCAGTGCTGACGGTCAGGGAGGAATCTCTGACAAGGTCTAACGACCTCCTGGGAATGCATCAAAAGATTTTTTTCTCTAGGTATAAATGAAAATAACATGTCTGAGGTTTTGGACAGTTACAGCTTAGCTATGACCATGCAAACATTCTAAGCATCCATGTAAGCTATTCACGATCATCAGATTTTAACTGGTCATGCCGCATGTCTGTTTCTCTTCAGAACTGAAATACGGAATCTCCCTCTGCCCTGCTGCTCACTGTTTCTTCTTTGCTCTTGCATTACCAGTAAAGCTGCAGGAGACAGAGCCTTAATTCTTTTTTTGTTCCCAGCCCCCTTTCAGTCCAGGAAGTCGTGCACATGCTCACTCTCTCCTCTCCCTCTAAAGCAGTGGAAATTATGCTGTCAATTTATTTCCTAATTTCCCTTGAATTTACCTCTTCATATATTTCTCAGCTTCCTGTCACATACTTAATTGGTTTGGCTGGTTTTTACAGCCACATCTAGCAGGCGATTTTTTTTGCAGTCTAGTGGAAGGTTGCAATGTGGTGTAGTTAAATGTATTTTATATGAGCAGGAAAGAACAAAGTGTTTCAAAGGTTTCTTAAGAGAAAGTGTTGAGCTAAATGGAGTTGGGATCTGAGCTGGCTCTGCTTTTAGCCTGTGGCTGTTAGCTAAACGAGGCTCCTAGGAAGGATGTTTGTGTAATTTCTTTCTTTAGCTTTCTAGGGATTAAGATGCTGTTGGAATCAAAGCCCCAGCTTCTGTAATAATCCTCTCCCGCGACTGCAGCTGCTTGACAGCTGTCGGCCACTCCCACTCCCTCCGGCCTCTGCAGGCCCAGAAGCAATTCCAACCTCAGGCAGAGGAATAGAAGCAACTCTGGGACTCAGTGTTACCTTGGGTTGATCAGTTCTGATCTCGTGCCTCCAACCTAAAATTGGGCATCCCTCTTGGTCCTGAGATTCAGTCCCCACCTCATGAGGGAAAAAGGGTCCCCTGTCTTGGCAGCCCTGGCCTGAGTCTCTGTACCCAAGTCTTTGCCTAGTACTTGGGCTCTCCAGGACTCAGAGCCCGCCTGCAATGGCCAGGCCTCCTCTCAGGTCCAAAATCATCCCCTCGCACCATGACCTGACCAGTAAAAGGGCCTTGCTGCTTGTAAACTGACCTCCGCCATGAGTTCTGCTTTCCTCCCCAGTTACTCAAGGCGTCTCTGTTGCCAGGGTCTCTTGTTGGTCCCCACACTCCTCAATTCCCTGGTGCGCCACCTGTTACCACCTTTTAAAAGACCTCTTGTCTGTGGTCTTACCTGCTGGAATCCATGCTCTGCCTATGATAAGGGACTTTCCGCAGTGTCTGTAGCTGCCACACCCTAGTGAGGGAGTAGTGCAGGGCAGGGTCCCCAGCTGCCCTTTCATTGCAATTCACAAGCCCTGCTGGTCCTGAGATGGGAGAAATGGTTTTAGGGTCTTCAAGGTCAAAAAGTTTAAGGACTTGCTTGCTTTCAAGTCTATTCCTACTGTTTCAGACCCTTCCCTGGCCTCTTAGATACAAGCTTTCCCTAAGATTCTGTCAGAATCCTGGCTGTAAAGTCAGGGTCTTTAAGACTAGAGTAGGTTCTATAGTCCATATAGCCAGGACTCCATCTATAATGGAATGCTTCCCTGAGAATTCCTCTGGCTGGTCACATAGCAGTCTTAGTTCCTGTGTGTTGTCTCCCTGTCCCCTAGATTCTGTGAGTTAACCCTTGTTTTAGGGCTCTGCCCATCTAGAACTGACACAGATTTGTGACTTCCTGGACTTTGTTTGTGCGTGCTGCTTGTACTACCTCTAGCCTTTCAACTCTGTACTTCCTGATTTGGGGTTTGATTTTTCTGTCGTGGCCCTGCCAACAAATAGGAACTTTAATTCTCTATAAGGTTGAGTTAAAACATTACCTCCAAGCTTCTCATTTTGCTGTATTCCCTTTCCCAAATCAGACTTACAGACTTCCAGCCTCCGTGTTACTATTTCCCTGAAACGTATCTGCAGCCTTGACCTATCTCCTGAACCCTAGCATGTGTGCGCCCCGTCTCAGCTGATAGCTGCACCGTTCTCCCTATAACCCAAGCTAGAAACCTCAGACTTGCTATTGAGACAGATCAAAAAGAGAGAGAGCCATTATCCATGTAATCAGAACTAATGCCCTAAGGTCATCTCAGAAATAGGATGTAGCTTATGTCAGCTCGGCATATGAGAAATTTCATCTTGTCAATCTACTCCTAGGCTTCAAGAAATCAATTTATGCAAACCAGACTCACAGGGGACTAAGTTTTTAACCCAGAACTCTGATTTGTACATTTATAATAGGGGATTCTACTTTCCCTTTGTTGCAGTCTTCCATTCCTGATCTACAGTCCACTCTTCCAGAGAGGCCCAACTAAGCAGATGGGTTATCAGAAGATTCCTGGTAGGAATAGACTAAGAGCAAAAGAGTGACATAGACTTGAGAGATTTTTATCATAACATGGCAGAACAATCTGAGAGTAATCAGTGTTTCTGTAGAGTATGCTTTTCTAGCAAACACCAAGATAAGTATAATTTTGACGCTTCATACAAATGTGAGAATTGAGGTCATCAATTCACCCCTGTGGTCAGTGGGATGACAGACGTTGAAGCTCGATCATTCCTACATTCATTCATGAGAAGGGAACTGGGGAGTACTTACTCAGTACCAAGTACCCTGTGAAGTACTCTCTCTCCATCTCTCATTTAATC